AACAACCTCTACGCGTGTCTTTTTTTTTTATCACTGAAATCAATTTTAAAAATTATGAAAAAAATTTCTAAAATTAACAGAAACATTAATTATATTAAAAACAAAATATTTAGATGTAGATTGGTACCAGTGGATCAAGATAAGTAACTGTCAAGAAACTCCTCCCGACCCAATAACCGCAATCCACGACTATCTACTCAAACTAACCCACCAAGACCCATGACCCACAGTCTCATGCAGAGGCCCATGAATGACTAATCAAATTCGACCAATAGATAAGAACCGCAGTCTTCGAATGTGGATTACAGGTTGCGACCCTTAAGAGCAAGTAACACGCACATTACCAGTACCCCTTTTCAGGGTTGCTTCATGGTAATGTGGTTGTCATGTGTACCTACCGTACGGAGTTTGTTGAAGATTTAACTCTCGCTCTCACAAGCCTATATCTGCACACACGAGACCACAAAGTTCCGACCTATAAACCATCCTTGAGCATCTCTCCAACATCAAGGGATGGCCCTATGAAAAACCTTTTTCAGTAGTAACGTACGCCCACGGGTAAGGGTTTTAGACATGACTAGGGTCATAGACTGCCTAATCCTAAGTCAGTCAACAAACACACACACTCCCACTGAAGTGTATAATCCACTATAATTTATATTTACATGCTCTCATAGCCTTTAAAGGCCACAAAACCCCAACAAACTTAACACATAAAGGTCAACTGAAAAATTGAAAATTTTCCATTACTATCACAATCTTTAGACCATTCGTAATAAATCACAATATTTCAACCATTATGACCTATGTTACCCAGACACTAAAACAAGTGTCAGTTTGGATATGTTCCAAAGGTGTTTGACATGGGAAACACAAATTAAAAAATGGTAAGAAACTTTTATACATTTACTTAGAAAAATGAAAAACATAAAAATTACAGAGAAATATTACAATTTTTTTTAGAAAGCATAAGATTGGATTATAGGATATGGTCAAAATTGTGAATTGAAGGGATTTGAACAAAAGAGTATTTGATGCAAGATAGGGTCGCATTTGTGAAAACATGTAATTTGAACGTAGGATATTTGAAAACATGTGATTTGAGCGTAGGATATGGCACTGGTGTCCACAAAAAGGTAGTGACATCACCCAACACCTAAAGTTTTAATTTTTTTTATTAAAAAGCAAAATCTATGAACAATTTTGCATCAATTTCCCATTTCGAAAACATTTAGAAACACAAACATCAGCGAATTTTACAATATTGGATAGCATAGAGGCGGGATTCGAACTTGGGACTAATCAAGCCCAAGCCTGAATCCTCTTTATTGATATAGCAACCTCTTAATAATATGTGTGATATAAATGAGCTTCATTTGAATAATACATCATGCTCACCATTATTACCATTAAAAGTTATTTGTTATTTAAGTTCTAGGACCTAATTGTGCTTTTATATTTGTATTGGCCTTATGCTATTTAATTAAGCGTATACCCTTTGCAATCTTAAATGGAATAACACCACACTCAGTTCCCTTGTAATGCTCCATAGTTTGTTGTTCCTCCTCAAGTGTTTTGAGTGTATTTTTTTGCTCATATGTTAGATACTGGTAACGATAAGCTAGATCCCCGGCGTGTCAAGTTTGTCTTTCTCGGGTATTCATGCTTCCATAAAGGTTATCGTTATTATCATCCTGGTTTATGAAAGAAATTTGTTTGTGTTGATGTTATCTTTTTTAAAATACTCTTTATTTTTCAGAAGAGAGTCGTGTGCTTGACACAAGTATTTTTATCCTGCCTTTAAAGAAGTTTCAAAGTCCTTTCCTTCTATGATTCCTCTTCCTATTCATGTTGATACTTCTTCTTCACCCCAATTACCTAACTCCACTGAATCTAGCACATATACATATCATGATGTTTCCTAGGAGCAGCCCATAAATGTTTATACCAGAAGAAAATGTAGGGTGGACATCCCTCACTATCTTCATATATTGATCCACGTCCTTTTTATGATGATGATGCACTTAATGCCATTTGTAAAGGTATCAAGTCTTGTACTCAACATACGATTGCACATTTTGTTACCTTTACAAATTTGTCTCCATCATATCAAAGTTTTGTTTTAGCTCTTTTATCTATTTATTTTCCTAAGACCTATCAAGAAGAACTTTCTCATACTAGGTGGAAGAAAGCGATGGAAGAAGAGATGGATGCACTATTTCATTCAAATGGAACATAGGAACTCACAGAGTTACCAGCTGGAAAAATGATTGTTGGGTGTCACTGGGTTTCTGCAATCAAATATCAACCTGATGGCACTGTAGGAAAATTAAAAGCCAGATTGGTTGCCAACAGGTACACACAAACATTTAGCATTGACTACTTTGAAACATTTGCCCATGTTGCTAAGCTTAATTCAATTCGAGTGGTTATATATATGTGGCTACCATCAAGGGATGGCCATTGTAGCAGCTTGACATCAAGAATGCTTTCCCCCATGATGATTTACAAGAGGTGTACATCGAGCAACCACCTGGGTTTGTTGCTTATGGGTGTGTAAGTTGAAGAAAGCCATTTATGGCCTGAAACAGACCCTATGTGCATGGTTCCAAAAATTTATAGAAATTGTAGAGGCACATGGATTAGGAGCAGTCATGTAAATCATGAGGTGTTTATTTGGAAATAGGACTCCTGAATAATTGTTTTAATTGTCAACATTGATGATATTGCCATTACTGGCAATGATTAAGAAAGAATCAGTTATTTGAAAAGACATCTAAAACAATATATTTAGATGGAGGATTTAGGCTCGCTGCAACATTTTCTAGGAATTGAAGTAGCCAGATAAAGTATGGCATTAGTTTGGCTCAAAGAAAATACATGACTGATTTGTTGACAGAAACTGGAATGTTGGGTGTAGACTAGTGGATACGCCTATGGATTCAAATGCAAAATTATTGGCCAATAAGTGGAAGTTATTTGAGGATTCATGAATGTAAAAATGATTCGTACGCAAGTTGATTTATTTTACCATCACCAGGTCTGATATTGCTTTTGCAGTAAGAGTTGTAAGCTGGTTTATGCACGCTCCAAGGATTCCTCACTGAGATGCTGCTGGTAGGATTTCAAGGCATCTAAAGGGAGCCCCGGATTAAGGTTTGATTTACAAGCCAAACAATGATTTAGCCATTGAAAGTTACTCGGATGCTGATTGAGGCAAGTTCACCATCTGACAGGCGGGTCTTCCACAGGTTATTATGCAAGGTCACATGGAGAAGCACAAAAACAAATGTTGTGGCCAGATGTAGTGCAGGGCTAGGTATAGAGCAATGCCATGTAACATTGATGTGGCTGAAAACACTAACGCAGGAGTGGGTTTTACAATTGTTAAACCCACGAAGATGCGATAATAAAGCTGCCACTTATATAGCCAATAATCTAGTATTTTATGAAAGGACCAAGCATATTGAAGTAGACAGTCATGCAAATGAGAGAGAGTTGCCACTAAGCAGGTGTTTACTCCATACGTGAAATCTAATGTTCAACTAGTAAACATTTTCACGGAAGGCCCTGGTCATAATATGTTCCAAACTATTTGTTCCAAGCTAGGCATGGGTAACATTTATGCTCAAGCTTGAGGGCAGTGCTAGAGTCCTTTGTTATTCTAGTTCTAGTACCGAATTTCCTTTGTTATTTGTATGGGCAGTTTAGTCCTTTCATATTTTTTATAATACATAGTAGTCAACGCACTCACTCTTCTCTCACACATCTCTTTCATATATCTCTATCTATTCTCTCTTCTCTCCCTAGGTTCTCTAACAATTGCTTGCTCTAAATTTCTGAGTTTCCTTCAGTAGATATGCAAATTCCTAACTTCCAAAAGTCAAAAAGAATTATTTATGTTCTCCATTAATTTGACTCAACAGTTTCAGAATGCCTGGACAGTTCATTTCTTCACCAGGAGACGTTGACTTGGTAACACCCGTCAGGAGTAACCCAAATAAGTTGACACAAATTGGAATGAAAGTCAGGTGCAATGGCGCAGAATTGCTATTATGGCAAATATACTTCTTTACATGAAAAATGTCATCCACAGTCAGTGCAACCTTCTGCAGTGGAGTGTCTATTTCTTTCTATTTCTTCCAACGGACATAAGAGGGAGTATGGGCCCTTTCGTATGGATAAGGACATCTTTTAGGGGGGAAAAAATCAAATATACCTTGTCAATAAACCTTCAAAAACTTTAAACAATAGAGCTTATTCCTCATCAGAGAACGCAGATTACAACAGTTTATGAACCATGGTGCACTCTAAGATAAGGTTAAACAAGGGAAGTACAAGAAACACATTGAAATTTAACAGTATAATAATAGCATTCTGCAACACAGAAGACTGAAATCAAAAAGACCTACAGAGTCAGAAATTTCAATGAAATTCAACCTCTACAAATTTCAGTTCCCAAATAGTATACTCCAAAGTAAAATGCGGTGCAGAGACCGAGATACACATGACAGAGATTTGCTAAACTGAAATGTGCAGGAACGGATCTCCATTTTGAAGTGCTATTTATTCTACAATGAATAGTTCCAAATGAAAGAGTTCCATAGGATTTTCATGGAATTTCCTATTATTGGTACCAGTTAGGAACTACCCCATTTTTATAAAATAAATAAATAATATATAATACCCACATCATTTATTTTGTGAAACAGCAAGGTTTTTTTGGGTAAGTACCCACATCATTTATTTTGTGAAACAGCAAGGTTTTTTTGGGTAAGTACCCACATCATTTATTAACATTGTAGTTCGATGAGTTGAGCATGAATCAACAAGCTATAACGTAATCTAAAGTAGCTGACAAAAATTTCATCCATAAATAATTTCAGTTAACAAGAAAAAGGTTGTCTGATAAATTCCTTTAAAATTCCAAGTGAAATTTTCCTGATTTAAACCAACATCTTCTTGAGAAAGACTGGAAAAAAGCAGTCATGAGAACTCACCTTTCTGTTGAAAGAAGCCCGTTAGATTCCTGTAAAAGGATGAATTATATCACAATCAGCCATACCCAATACGCAACATAATAAAGTAATCTAGCTCACATACCTCATTATTAATCCGCTCCCAACACTCATTCGTTAAGCAAAGCCGCTCGATTTCCCCATTATCATATGATATCTTCCAAAAATAATTCAAGTTACAATGAGTTAAGAAAACGATACAAACTTAAAATAACTTAAATAAGTGAGCAAAGGCTACAATACAACAGTTAAATATCATGCACTTGGATGATACACACCAGTGATGAAATAAAAACCAAAAGAACAAAGGGAACGCCTTCAGATCATAAAATCCACAGAAGACACAAGAGTAGTGAATCAAATAAAAAATACGGAAGCTGATTTCGAACTCCATGTGGCATTCTCAAAGAAACTCCAGACTCCGCAGTCTCTTTCAAAAATTGATATAGCATAAGCAACCCACAATGTAACTGTAAATTTCTTCAACAGTTAAGTGCCAAATAAGCCAGAAAGTTTAAAACATGTTCCAAGTTGAACGGTACCATATTCAACAAGTCATACTTCCCTTTAGCTGTTCAAGTAAACAAACTTACACAAGTATCATAGTTGCTGGAACCTTGCAGGCAAGGTCATGGACCCGGTCCAGAACCTCAATCCCACAATTCCTGGCAGGGATCTTGGATGGAACACGGATCCCTATATAGTGATCCTTGTTTCTAGCGGGTTTGAACTCAGTTACAAGTGTAAGATACAGTGCATATGATGTTTTCTCTACTCGGCAGTGATTCGTATGCACTGATTCAGGTTTGTGCCCAATGCTAATATGATATAGGATTGTACGGACAACGATCCTAACCACAAGGATCTTCCAGCAATCCACAGTTCAGCGGACCGACCAGTTCCCTTTCCCAGGAACGCACCCAAAACGGACAACTATGACAAGCATACCATCATTACCATTGTTTTCAGGTAAATAAGAAAAACCAACAAAAGGTGGTTGCAGACAAACCACACCAGCAGGGATCTCGTTTGTTTGTGGGAAAAAGCATTTCCCAGAAAGCATTTCTCAGTATCAACTGTGATTTTGTTTCTGAAATTTGTTTCTTTTACACTTCGCTCACATTTTCCACATATTCTCCTCATATAACCCACCAATCACCACGTATTGTCCCTTTCTTTATCAGAAAAGTTGTGGGAACAAGAGTGCCACTGGAAAGGAGTTAACAAAAAATAAAATAAAACAAAATAAAAAAAGAAAAAAAAGGTAACGGATAGTAATAGCCAGAAATAACTAGAGCGCAATGGGTTTTGAGAGAAAGAAATGGTTCCTGGGTATGAGGGTCACTAAACTAAGTTTCTTGCAAGTTCCCAATGTTCTGCCAAAGTCTTCCACACATTCCCAGGCATTTCCATTAAATTCTAAATCACTTTACATGCTTTAATTCCGCCTCTTTGCCACATAATTAAAGGTCCACGCATTTTTCATGTTCTCATCTAAACATCAGTGGACTACTGAACATGTCTTTTTTTCCCACCATGTCTCTTGCATTTGTTTCACAATCCATTTCCTAGAAATGCATTTGTTATATTTTAAGAATTACCTACAAATGAAAGCATAAAATGCACCAAAAGCAGGCAAACTCGAATGAGCAGTATCATGCACTAACTAAGAGAGAATGCAAATGAAATTACTCAAATTGCATCTTCTCCCTCTGACGAAGCCGTAATACTCCAACCGAAAAAGACCTTAGATGTAAATATGAAATGGAAACCACATTATAGGCAGTGCAATTGCTGCTAAATAAAGTACAAGTGCAAGAATGGGCACTAAAACAACTAAACAGCCCCCAACTGTCATAAACTCATCTTCAGTTTCTAGTATTCACTTTCTGAAACAAATGGAGCAAAGATTGAATTGACATAGATCTTAAAATAAAAAATAGGTGACATTGTGGTCTCTATTCAGGGAAGATTCAGAAATTGGATACACAAGATACAAATTAAAAAATTAGCAATAACTCCCCCATTTAAGTTAGAGAATTGCAAAAGAACTACCCTGAAGGCTTTGGAGATCCTTAAAATACCACATATTGAAGAAACGCTAACTCACATATGATAACGCACTTCATTGGTATAGATGATGTGATTTGGAATACTCATCTTAAGAAACCCAAATTAACTTAACAAAATAGAGATTTGTGGCTGCAGCATCAAGAGAAATAGATGCAAGAGACACACCAAGCTTCTACATAACATAACTCCAGTTATCATATAGTGAAATGATCAAAGTGTCTTTCATGCTTAAACAAGCATATTTAGCTAAGAAGATACAAAGTCTTAACACTTTTTTAAGGCATGGAAGCAAAATTTTAAGTTAAAACGATTTCTCTAGCACTTCTCAAAGAAATGGCAATCCATAAATTCACAAATGCAGCTGCTAAATGCACCCCTTCAAAGAGCATAATTTGGCTCAACCATAAAAAAGTACACGAAAAAATGACGAAAGGCAGATACCCTTGCTGCACTTTTGGACAAGTTTCTCTTATAGTGTAGAATATTTTCACATGAGCATTCCCAAATCAATTTAAGGTTATTTTTTGTACAGAAAAGAAGAATATAACATATCGCATCAAAGAAACACCATTTAAAATTCTACAGGTTCAACTTACCTTGTGTGTTTGGCTTTCATGATCAAACTCATTTACAATACCAATATAGAAGCTGCAGGAGACAGTAAAGAAATGTTACAACAAAGCAGAAAGATACAAAAGAATATTGTTTCAAAAGTTTACAGTTTACCACTTGTCAAATGGTGACCATAGTTTGATTCTCTGTCCAACCAACTCATCCACATCTTTAAGCTCCTTCAACACATGGCCCAGACAAACCACAGCCAGAATCAGAAAAGGAAATCGTCTGTGACCATTTTGGAACCAGAATCCAGAAAGTACCAAACTTTTTCTAACCTTAAACTTGAATGGTCTATTGCGTTTGCTTTCACAAAATTTCAGAGCCTCACTAGAAGTTTCACCGATCACCTTCTTTCCTTTACGAAGCCTGAAAATGCCGTTTAAGTTTCCTGCCTCCTTTTCAGATATTACTGAAGAAGTAGTTGATCGGTTCGCCGTGATAGAGCTAGTGAGAGGAACAAGTTTTTTTTTTAACACTCCAGACTCAATGTTCTTTGATGATTGTTTTAGCTTCTTATGGTCAGCGGAACCCGCAAATAGTAGTTGCTCCGAAATAGGTGATGGGGCACCTTTACGCTTTCCTTTTGGGTTGACTTGTTGATTTGATTTTACAAAATTTCCCTTTGCATGACGAACAGAATTGTCCCTTTCTTCTTCTACTTCACTCAGCAATGACTCAGCTTGCTTCCACGAAAGAAGTGTCTTTGAAGTGTTCTTTCTATCATTTGGAAGTAAAGAGCATTCCTGAAAATTTCTAGCTTGTTTTATTTGATGATTATTATCCAAACGGAACAAAAAGGTGCAGCCATCAGTTATTTCAAACAAACGCTGATTCAGATTTAGCATACAGAAAACAGCAAAATACTAAAAGATGGTGTATTATACTAAAAAGCTACCTGAGCACTACATGATCCAGACCCATTAAAGATCTTTTCTATGAGCTTTCCATCAATCAAATAATCCGATAGATGGTTCACATCACCCTGCCGAGATCAATGAAATAAGATACACAATAACCTTTTCAGGCATCGAACAGTAGAAAAATTATCTGTATGCATGTATACATACTTTCTCAGTCTTTGCATCCTCACTAACTCTATAAAATGATGCCGGCAGATACACCAATCTTGGTGTCTGAGCAGAAGAGGTGTTATGTCCAAATGCTTTTGTAACATGAATTCCAATATCAGATAAAATACATAACCTCTGCAGTGAAAAATAAAGAGTCAGTAAGTTATAAATATGAAATAATAAAGATAGGTACTTTTAGAAGAGCAACAAGACTTACAGAAGTCAGGCTTTTATCTGCAGCATCCTCAGCCTTTTTAATGGCAGAAAATATACTAACTATATATGATACATTGTCACACCCATCCTTGGAGTTATCCACAAGATCAGGGGTAATTAGTGCCTTCAAGAATAGAACCAGTGGGCTGCAAAGAACAAACAAAAAATACAATAAAGACAGGAGACAGGAAAAAGCATAAGAATATACCAAAATCCACACGCAGATCATATTGGCTGTATGAGCAAATGGAGCATATAATATTTCTCTAAGAAACAACATTTTTGAATATCTACCAGGAAAGCAATACAAAGTGTCCCAGGAAAACCACATGTTCTATTTTAAGCCTTTTCAAGATGTGAAGAGCTTCAAATCAACTAATTTTGTTGGAAACTTAAAAAAAACATAAGTGGTATTCCTCTGCCAGAAGCACCAATGAAAGATTATTTAATATACCTGCAAAATCTAGTATAAACATCTTCATCTTCAGAGTCTTGATCTGGGAAGCCTGGATCATGAGCAAGAACATGAACTAGGAACACCAGAACATATTCCGGGAAGTTCATCATGGTTGCACCTTCCAAATCTTGGATGGCAGATGCTTGACGTTTTTGAGCTTCTCGTCGGTATTCCTCAATGAATCCTGCTAAATATTTTGCTGACTAGATAATAAAACCAATTAAATAGAATCAAAGACATTAATCATTTCCTGATGGCAAATACAAAGGTACTGAGAGCACCATCAATGCATGACAGTCGCAACCTACATCATCACGGATATGTTTTAGGCAATCTGATGAAGCCAATGCAAATGAACATGCATATTTGTTTGGAATGGCATGCTCCTTCAAGAGCTTATGGATTTTTCCCAAAAAAAGCCTGCGAACATAATCAGATGAGTCCTGCAAGCACAAAGTATAACAGAAGGTCAAGAAAACAAGAGCAAGCAGGAGATTAATCAAAGCTATTTAGTTTAATTATAGGACAAGAGGATCTCCAATAAAGCCAATTTTGACTTAGGATCCCCACAAAGCCAATTTTGACTTAGGCAGTAAGGGCATGCATTTTCTGCAGAATATTGACTCAGTAGTTCTACATAATAGTTATAGCGGATTCATTTACACAGGACAAGTGCAACTCATTGAATCTTGGTATGCATCAAGAATGATATGCTCTACACGACTTGTACAGTACGTTTCCCAGGTCATGCTGATTTAAATTTTCAAAGATGCAAACATTGAATCAGTCTAAGTGGTCAGCCAATGTGAAAGAGGTTGACGGTGCACACAATTCAATATCAGCCTTTAAACTGCCCCAAATCAGCTAAATCCATATGAGACAGGAGTACCCCTGGTAGGTAAATCCAATGGGGATAATTTCAGAAAATTTACACCTGAAAAAAGTATGCACATACTAGAGGAGAAGTTATTATATCATGAAGTTGACTGAATACAAACACAGGTTATTGGGCAACAAACTTTCCCAACACTGATGGTGAAAGACGCTACGCAACGAGAAGCTAATAACGATATGCAGACGTGACTCCCCGGGAAGAGTTGACTTGCTAGAAAAAATAAGTAACATATAGTTTGTAATATTGTGCTGAAACCAAAAGAAATGATTGCATTGCAGAAACCAGAACTACTGTAAGCCATGCATAAGGAAAGGCTTATCAATATCCCAGGAGAAGTAATTAATGAAATGCTAAAAAATCGTTCAGAAGTCTCATCTTTAATAATCCAAAAAGAAAAAGAACTGGATCATATTGCCTTCTAACATTCAGCAACCCTTGCACATCATACTCCATAATGTCTATTTTAACCAATTAAAGCAAGCATTGCCCAAGAGTCGGTTCAAATATTAGTATGTTATTGCATCAGAGAGAGCCCAAATATACATGGACTGGAAGGTAGATTAATGATGCAAATCGCATCCGACGTGTTCAGGAATTAGGCTGAAATTTATTTTGGAGAAATTCTAGTGTGGGATTGGACTTCTTTATTTATTTTGTTAACGTGAATTATGGGACTTGGATGGGACTATTTCATTTAGTGGGCTTTAGTTATTGTTATGGGGGGACCAAGGAAGTATTTCATTTAGTAAGGGGGCAAGAGTAGTAATTGAGTCAAACTTACTTCTTTGGGATAAGTTTGAGTTTCTTTAGGTTGCTTTATTTAAGGGGTTTTTATTTTTATTTTTATGGGGTTTTATTTATGGGGTTTTTTGTATCTTTAGGAAAGGAAAGGAGAGGAGGTAGTCATGTGAGGTGGATTGAAAGTGATCCCTTCCCTTATGCTTGGTGGGACCCATGTGATGTTAGAGAGAAGTACATGAGAAAGAGAGATTGTGGATTGTGTGTGTGTGTGAGAGAGAGAGACAGAGAGAGAGAGAGATTTACGAAGTTTTTTTTTTTTTTGAGTATGAGATTTATGGAGTTTAATGTGGGAAAGCAAGAGGGAGAGGTTAACATGGGTGACATAAGGGGGTACAAACTTTAGAGAGGGAGTAAATTTTGGGACTTTATTGTTTTTGTTATTTTGACTTGTATTTAAGGTGAAACTTTCCCCTTAGAAAAGAGACTTGTTTTTTTTTTTTGGTGAAAAGAATTATTCTATGAAAGAAGAAAGAGAGCTTCTTCTTCCCATGGCTTAATTTACAGCACCTTATTTCCTCCACTAGTTAAATTTTTGCTTGTCTAAGATCAAAAGAAAGTCGGATTTAATTTCCCAGGCTCCTTTCACATCAATTGACAACGATAGGAGTAGGCTGGGAAGCATCTTCCAGGAACAGATCTTCAGAAATAAAAATATATTTGATGATTGAAACACAAATGCTTACCTGAGCTCGTTGTACCGTTAAGTGAAAAAGCTGAGGTGATATATGCCAATCCCATCTCCGGGCAAGTCGGGCGACAGACTTTGCCGCAGCCAATCTGACATGAGCCTTGTCACTTTCACTGTATGCAGCATATAATATCATCAACCCGCGTGGGTACACAAAATTTCACGAGCCAAAAGCAGGAAATATAAATGAAAAGGAAGAAAAAACAGCATAGGTCCTGGTAGACACAAAAGAGAAAGAAGTCAATGACCCAAATCCAAAGAGTTGGGACAATATATGACCCACACGTGGGTCATGAGAAAACCAAGAAGTAAGAACAAATCTAGTCCTGCCCAAAAACGGCACAATTGTGGAAGTAAAGGAGACAATGAAATGCAGTCTTGAACTACAACAATGTCAACTTGGAAAGCTTAATGAAAACCAGTAACATTTGATGAAAGAAAAACCCAAAATTACTGTTTGAAGGTGAAACTAATTTCTAAAGAAAGCACCATTTCAACCTTGAAGGTGAAACTAATTTCTAAAGAAAGCACCATTTCAACCAGAGGTTGATTTAGCTTCATTGGAAAACATACCCTGTTGTACTGAGAGGATCAGATGGACTGAGATTCCAAAACTGGTACTGATGATAGCAAACGAATAGGACTAAATTGATCGACGCAGTTACTGATCACAGGACAACAAATCTGAAAGAAAAGGAGAGACATAACCTATGGCCTATAATTTGCAAGTACTCAAGCGACCCAAAAAGTAGAACTTTGTTTGGTGAGTCCACAGCAATAGAGGGAGGGAACAACGAACATAGAAGGGCTGCATCAATCCTTGTTCTAGATGAACTAGGATTGAGCCTTAGATCCTCATTACTAAAAGCTGAGGATACTGTTAAACTAGCACACAAGTGGTATGGCCAGCATTTTAAATTTCATCTTGAACATTATGGTGCCTTATTTTTTTGACATTTTGGCATTTTCATCATTTTCCTCATGCGTTATTTTAATACTATAATGAAACAATGTTACTCCTAATTTCCAGTATTAACATCAGGTGCCTTGATGGTTATGCTAGAACTAATGGCATATTTACCATCTTTCATTTAACCTTTGTCCCACATAAAAATAATAAGAGCATAACATCAAACTTAGTTGAGAAAATAAAATCAACTATGCTGGAAAACTGAAGATCATCAACTGCTTCTTACAAACCTTGAAAGAACTTCTTCAGAAATGTTTCCATACTGAAGTAGCTTCAACAAGATGCTCAACAACCCTTTAATGTTAAGATCATCACGAGCTCCTTTGTATGGTAAATAACTCTTGACGAGAGTTTTAAGCCCACATACCTGCACTTTAAATGTCATCAGTTCAGACAAGGACAAATCAAACAAGTACCATATGTATTGCACGCATATCCAATGTCACTCATGAAATCATTATCATCACACCAGCATAATACATTACCACTGTTTCCCAATGTATAGCATAAGTAGCCACTTGTGGAATAAAAGCCATCAACTAAAATGTGGAAGTACACTAGTTAGGACCACAAAGTCTTCACCTATGAGAAAATGATAAACTAATTGCGGAATGGGAAATTTCAGTTTTCGCATCACAAAAGCTGCAGTTAAAGTGGTTAGGGTGATGAGTATCTCCTTTGAGAACATCAGATTCCTCCTAATTCTTGCGCATATTTGGAGGATGTGAACCCTAGAAGGGCAACCAAGAAGAACAAGAAGAGCAAGCATTATTTGGATATCTTTCGTTATTCAAGTGTTATTTTTGGATTCTTCATTACTGTTATTTGCTGGACAAGTTAAGTACTCAATAGAAATTTTATCTAAAGTTGGGGTGTTTATTAAAGTTACATTTAAGTTGGGGCTGTTTTGGTCATTTAAATTAGATGAAGAGCGTTACCTTTTATGCTTAAGTTAGGGAATGGGAATCAATTACTTATTTTTATGAACAAATAATGTCCTTCAAATAAAAAAAGGATATAAAAGTGGTGCGTGGGGTTCTAGGCTTTTGACCCTAGCTTGGTGTGAGAAAGAAACCCTAGGGTTTCTCCTAGTTATTGCTTGTGCTTGGCTTGTTTTCTTCCTGATTTTACTGTTTATATCAATGTTCCCACATCAATTTGGTATCAGAGCCTGAAGTAACATTTAGTAACCAAGGGAAGGCCTCGTAGATTCCGCGTAACATGATTACACCTAGTAGACGAGGAAATGGGAAGGGACTTTTTTCTCCAAATCCTTAATGACCAGTATTGATTTCATGGGTGATTCAATCTGTGACAAGGAACCTTTTGATGAAGATGGTGATCCTGCCTTTAATAGTGATCCCATCTTTGATGAGGATCCGATATTTAATGATGATTTGGTGGGTGATGTTATCTATGAAGAAGAGCAAGGTGAAGTAAGGGAGGATCAAGGAGATGACGATGGTACTACGGATGTTATTTCTCCTAATGTCTTGCCTGAATATGGGGTACCATCTGAGGTGCGTCCTAAGGAATTGATGATATTTTCCTTTGAGCTTTTTGCTAGTGAATTTAATATCGAAGGTGCCCATCAAATGGTTGATTAGGTAATTCATGAGGTTGGAGTTCAACTTCAGCCATTGTCTTGTTTCAAGAGGAGAACCCCCACATCTAATGACTACGTGGGAGCTGAAGGAAATTAGGGGGGTAAAATAACATTAATCTTAAGCTGCTTCAAAGTTCGTGGTAGAATTATTCTTCGATGTGTTCATGACCAAGTATGTTGTGCTTATGCACTACAAGTATGGCAGCACCCAATAGGGCCCAAAACATGGTTGATCGAGTGTCTATGGGTGAAGTAGGAGATTGAGTGATGGTGTACCACAAGAGGGAAGACATCCAGCAGACAAATACAACAAGTCGAATGACCGAAAGCTGGGCAACAACGCTTACAAGGTCACTTTGCCATAGCATATTAGAGACTTCGGATATCTTCAATATTGCTGATCTGCCCGTATATCATGGGCCAGAGATGGATAACTCAAAGGCAAGCTCTCCTCAACCTAGGGAGAATGATGATGTGGAAAGTACATCATGTGGTCAAGGCGATGAGTATTCTTCTTTGGAAGCAGTAGATTCCTCCTAATTCTCGTGCATTTTTGGAGGATGTGAACCCTAGAGAGCTACCAAGAAGAACACGAAGAGCAATCATTATTTGGGATTCTTTTCTAGTTATTTTAGGGTAATTTTTTAATTTTTAATCACTTTACTTGTTGATCAGTTAGGGACTTAGTGGGAAATTTGTTTAAAGTTAGGGCAAGTTGCATTTAAGTTGGTACTGTTTTGGCCATTTTAAGTTAGATGAAGGGGATTAAGGACCTAAGACCTTCTATGTTTAATTTAGGGCATGGAGTTAATTACCTATTTGTATGGACGAAAAATGTCCTTTCGACATTAAAAGGATATGAAAGTGGAAGAATGGCACCGCATCTGCGCAGTGAGAATATCAAGAATGGCTCCGCGTCTGGGCGGACAGAAGGAGGTGGTGGAGCCTTGGGTAGAAGCATCTCTCAGAGGTCCAATAGTAGCGATCTTCACAGAAGGAACCAAGCGTTTACTTCTCCTTTTTTCAATTGGGAGGTAATTTATAACCTTGACCCTCGGCTTCCAGTCCCCCCTTCGGATCGTCGCCCATCCTCTATGAGTCACCTGAAAAGGCTGCATGTTAGTCCTACGTCTTACGCACAGGTCGTTGCCTCCATAACCTCTATTCCCCATGCTCCTCCTCCCCCACCACCCCCCTCGGACATCTTGATAGCCTCGTCCCCTCCTGCTCACCCCTTGATTATAGAAACTTCAAAATCAGTCTCTTGTCCACTTTCAAACCATTTGCAAGCTGCGCTTGTTGGTTACAGCGTAATGACATCAGGGGCATAGAAAAATGGGCACAAAAACTTTGGGAGGAACCTAATATTACATGCAGAACCATTTCTAGGGGAGGTATCCTTATCTCCTTCCTGTCTTCGACCTTGGCCCAGTAAATAGCCAGTAGTTGTTCTAACCTTTCCTTCAAAAGGGTAAAGTTGTTCCTGCAACCTTGGTCCCCCAAGGGAGGGTCTTCGTCACCTCTCAAATATTAGGTTACTTTTCACAACATCCCTCTTCATGCTTGGTCTCCAGTCATCTTCAAGAAACTTGCCCAAGCGTGGGCCAACTGATTTCCAATAACTGGAAATCCCTGGAGGTCCTTCCCATGGGGTCGATGCAAGTGTTGCTCGAGACCATAAACCCTTCCCTCATCTCTCCTACGATTTGGATCAAGGTAGATGATTCTTTCTTTCCTATTACTGCTAGATGGTCCTTGGCTTTGTGGAATCGACCTACAACAAAGAAGAAGGCTCCGCCAAAACAGTGGATTAAGGTCACTGAGAAATCCAGGTCCCGATCGTCTATACCGCATGCCTCCATGAGAACAACACGTGTTCCTCAACCAATACACGTGTCACTAGTCAGAGAACACATTAAATGTGCCAGAACAGGCGTATCACTTGTTGCAGTTCCATATGTGGATACACCTATACAGCACGCCTTAATGTCGCCACCCGCTCCCCCAAATCCCAAATCACCCTCGCTACGTGTCCAAGTAAACTGCTCCTCGCCGTCGTCTCTGCCATCGGGTACGATAACCTAACCACCCCATCAGCTTGTGCCACCAACCAAAGACAGCCACGTGAGCATCCTAGCCTCCACTCCTGTGCCATCGGGACTGCCTTCCGTCCCTTGCCCCCCTTCTCTCCCCTTGAGACACAATCCCTTGGCCTCCCCTCTTTTGTCCTTGGGCCATAATGGTCTTGTAACCCCAGCGGTCATGCCTCCCCCATCTGCTGCAGAGACGGTACCCATGTCAGAAGACTGCTCTATTTTAGTTCCCAATCTTCCCTTTCCCCAAGAGGCATCGAAGCATTCCCCTTATATCCCCCCCTCTACGAATGTAACCTTGGGGGTGAATCCCGACAAAGAGGTGCTACCCCTCGAGACTGTCTCAACAGATATATTTAGGCACGAGGCTCTGACTGAGGATCACTCTGTTTTGCTGGCAATTCCTCCCAACGAACGCCCTCTAGATTTGCTAGCCTACTCTTTGCACCCTACTACCTTTCCTCCTACCTCTTTCTCCCCCACCTTCCCAGACATGGACTGGTCCCACTACCCAATTGGCATCCTGATGGTTCACAGTTGTTCTCCCTCATCGCTGGACATGGAGGCTATTGCAACGATATTAGCCCATTACCTCCCTCTTTATCCCGCTCTTACTCTTATTTGTCGAGTCAACTCCTCGCTCATCTCTTTTTTCCGTACTCATGGTCACCCCCTCATTCCTCGCACAGCTTTTCCCCTTTTTTGAACTGCCTCTACCACAACTCCACCTTGCTCTCAACCCCTCCTTCATAGTGGGTCATATCATAGATACAGGGGCCTTCGTGTCCAATGATCCCCTACCTCTCTGCCTTCCCCCACCTTGCTATAGCCGTATCCCCTATCACCCTCCTAACCTTACGCCACCTTACCCTTCTCCTAATGACTCTGGTATTATCAATGCTTTCAATATCTCCCAATCTAACTACCAGCCCCCCCCCCCCCTTTTCTTATCAGCCCTCCTGCCCCGCCTACACCGTGCTGCCTCGCTTCCATTCCGCTTTGCCCTCCTCAGCCAGGTTTTGAAGGCCTACGCCCTTTTAGCTACTCTTCCCAGGTGTCAGAGAACTCGTAGGAGGATTCTTCGTTCAGAGAGGAGTCATCTAGAGAAGGCAACCAAGTCGAGAACAGCCCAGATCTCATCAAAGAAAAGGTTAAGTTCTTCTTTAGTCTTATGGGATTTCTATTGGAGGACTCAGACCATCAGCTCCTCCTTTCTCTTGATTCTACCACAAGGGATGGATCGCAGTGGAGGAAAAAAGGTTATAAAGTGCTACTTAACCTCTTTTCCTCTATTAACCCAGGACAATTCTACCCCTCGGATTTGTCCACTGAGTCCTTCTTGTCCACTGGAAGGTCCTTGGCCAAGAGGTCCTCCAGACTGGCTGCAACAACCCCCTCTTCTATTCCAAGATGATAATCATATCATGGAATATAAGGAGTCTTGGACAGGCCTCTAAACAAAAAGCCGTTAGAGACCTCTGTGCCAAGTTCAAACCTTCCATACTGACGCTTTTAGAAACCAAACGACCGGAGCCTGACCTTCTCTCGGTCATAAGGGTTTGGGCTAGATCCCCTTGTCAATGGATCTCTCGCCCAGCTTTAGGGGCCTCTGGAGGAATTTGGGTATTTTGGAACCCTACTGAACACTCTCTAATCTCCTATCATATC